AGAGCATACACTGCAAGTACAAAATGGTGGACGCATAATTCCACCTCAGATGTCACTCATCCAGAGGGTAGGTTGAAGATATTGTACAAAAAGCTGCTGTTCTAGTCCAAACTGTGCAATTAGACTGGGGCAGTGCTTGTTATATTTTATGGGTCACCTAGACATATCTTGAAACATCACAATGTGTGAATGTTTGACAGACGTCATTAATGTATGACACTGAAGTCATTATTGCAATGGTGGATATACGCATAGAAAATGGGAGGTTCCATCTAATAGCAGGCATGTGAGCCTGATGTGCATGCATCTGTAGACATGGCCAGCTTGCTAATGCACGGAGAGGTGCAGGTTGCAGTGGGACTGGTGGGGCTGAATACCCTGAGGACAACATACAAAGCAGTAATGGCTTCCAAAGTATAGCTATAACTTTGTTAGTGATTAAACTACATGTTATTTTATGAAAATCATAAGAATTCTTGGAGAACATTTACTGCATTATATAAATAGGACTAACATAACATACACTTAAAACCACCAATTTGAAATGTGCTCACGCAATATGTCCGTATGAGATCTCAGTCGATTATCGTTATATCTCTGTATACCTTAGAAAAATAATATTCGTACACTACATCCACATATAGAAAATGAAGAATAATTAAACAAAACAAATACTACAAGGACATACAGCCATCTGGAGAATCTACACATAAAATAATCCAGTAACGATGAGAACGTTTTCCAATGTTTTCTGGGGATATAATTAGCCTAATGAGAGGATGTCAGAAAATCACTCACTTACCTCCTACCATAGCGTGGTCACAATTGTAGATCTTGGGTCAGGATGTGTAGTGTTGTATCTGACTCATTGTTGCTGTTAATTGTATTGTCAATTATAAGAAATATGTACTGCGTGTGTTTATGAGATGGCAAAACTTGCAAGAGTCACTGGAGGTTTTTTTATTGGGGCAATTTTGACTCAAGGTTCGAAAAGTCACCATGGAAACGAATTGAATGTCCTGCTGATTAATAAACTTTTAGAACTTTTCCTCACATTTACTTTTTATAATTAACCCCATTGTGTAGTTCAAGAACATAATTAAGAACAATGAATCACATACAGCTACATCTCTGTTCTCTCATTTTAAGGCTAACAATCCTACAACAGTAATCAGAAGAATTCAATTATCTCATGAGGTTTTTGAATTAAAACTAATTGGAACATTAACATTGCTTTTGAAATATTGTAATATTTGTATATCTGAAATAACCTATAATTTAGTTACCCCATTATCCTTAAAAACATGGTTTACAGGGGCCACTTTTAATGAACATACATATATGATCTATACTGCGTGCTAACATGTATATCAAAAAAGATACATTGACTTAAAAATTCCATAATCACAGCATGCTATGGAGAGTATTCATGAATCTGGCATTGGTATTGTGGCAATACATAGTATTGAATAAAAAAATATTTTTGATCAGATTACATTACATTACGGATAGTGCTGGGTGAGAAGAACAGAATACTAGCTAGCTGTTACCATTTGGATCCCTAAAACTTAAAACACCTTCTAACACCGGGACCCAATAACCTAACCCTATGTTCTCTTAAAGTGTCACTGTCACGCTGTACATACCTTTTCCCAATATCTTCCTCTTCTTTTGCTCTTTCCTACTTTTTTCTTTTCAATTTTAATCTATTTCTAACTAAAAACATAAGACATAGTGACTACTTTGTCTAGTGTATTTTTCCTACGCCTGACTTTCTTAGACACTGGGCGGGGAGCTACATTGTCAATCGTCACAAGTGACGGCTGCAGGGAATTGGCTCTGTCTACGGAGGATCCTGCATTCTCGCATGCACTGAAGTCACCTTGGCACTTGGTGCTGAAGAGCCAGGAGCTGCAGAGGACCCACCGGGGGAAGATGGCTGCACCCGCACGACACAGCATCAGCTAGGTAGAACACACTTTACCCTGCCTGCACCGGACCACCTGTGGCCATGTCACAGTCAGGGGTTTTTGCAAATGATGTGAAGTCCCCAGATGGTAACAGTGTCACTTTAACCTTTAAAGGGAACTGTTACTACCCAGAATTTGAAATATTGTAATTACAATATTCCCTACATTTACCAAATATGTTTTTCTAAGAAAACTTTTATTAAATGTAGCAATCCATATTGCTGCATTTACTTCTAGCCTGGAACTGGATACCTCAATTTCATCTCTATATGCTTTGACACAGATAGAGGAGGGAGGATTTGACACTGGTAGGGGAGGGATGGGAGGCTTTGACACAGGGAGTGGAGGTGGGATTTGATACAGGTAGATGAGGGGAGGGAGCAGGCTTTGGTACTAGAGAGGAGGGGAGGGAGGAGGCTCTGAAACAAGAGGGTAGGGAGGTGGGATTCTTTGGCACAGATAGAGGAGGGAGGATTTGACACTGGTAGGGGAGGGATGGGAGGCTTTGACACAGGGAGTGGAGGGGGATTTGATACAGGTAGAAGAGGGGAGGGAGGAGGCTTTGGTACCAGAGAGGAGGGAGGAGGCTCTGAAACAAGAGGGAGGGAGGAGGCTCTAAAACAAGGGGAGAGGGCAGGGAGTAGGCTCTGAAACAAGAGGGGAGGGAGGAGGGGATGGAGGAAGCTCTGAAACAAGAGGGGATGGAGGAGGGGAGGGAGAAGGCTCTGAAACATGAGGGGAGGGAGGAGGTAATGGAGGAGGCTCTGAAACAAGAGGAAAGGGGATGGAGGGTAGGGAGGAGGGATTCTTTGGCACAGATAGAGGAGGGAGGATTTGACACTGGTAGGGGAGGGATGGGAGGCTTTGACACAGGGAGTGGAGGGGGATTTGATACAGGTAGAAGAGGGGAGGGAGGAGGCTTTGGTACCAGAGAGGAGGGAGGAGGCTTTGAAACAAGAGGGAGGAGGCTCTGAAACAAGGGGAGAGGGGAGGGAGGAGGCTCTGAAACAAGAGGAGAGGGAGGAGGCGGCTCTGAAACAAGAGGAAAGGGGATGGAGGAGGTTCTGAAACAAGAGGGAAGGGAGGAGGGGATGGAGGAGCCTCTGAAACAAGAGGAAAGAGAAGAGCGAGGGGAGGAGGAGGCTCTGAAACAAGAGGGGAGGGAGGCTTTGACACAGATAGAGGAAGGAGGATTTGACACTGGTAGGGGAGGGATGGGAGGCTTTGACACAGGGAGTGGAGGGGGGATTTGATACAAGTAGAAGAGGGGAGGGAGGAGGCTTTGGTACCAGAGAGGAGGGAGGAGGATCTGAAACAAGAGGGAGGGAGGAGAAGGCTCTGAAACAAGAGGGGGGGGGAGGGAGGAGGCTCTGAAACAGGAGGGGAGAGAGGATGGGAGGAAGGAGGCTCAGGCACAAGAGGGGAGGGGAGGGAGGAGGTTCTGAAACAAGAGGAAAGGGGATGGAGGAGGCTCTGAAACAAGAGGGGTGGGAGGAGGCTCTGAAACAATAGGAAGGTTCCCGATAAGGGTAAAACACCCCTCAAGCGCAGTAAGCGCCTCCTCCTATTTCAGATGATTCCTCGGATGAGGAAAGAGAAGTGCCCCACTCCCTCTCCATTGTGGACGAGTGGCAGGCAGAGGTCTCAGACTCCGACGATGGCAATTGAGGCTCCAACGCCTACGTCGGGGAGACCGTTTTGGGTGAGCCTCAGAGTAAGGAGGATGCAGGGACGACGGAGAAATCCACTGCGCAGGACCAGGAGGTTTTCCTGGACACAACGAAGCAGAGGATGTTTGACCCCAGGAATATCAGGCATCCCCGCTCTGAGGAGTGGACATAGGTTTATGCACTTTTGGATGCGGAAGCCCCTGGACAAAAGCGTCCTCAAGAGGATTAAGCCCGAATGCCCCAGACCATCGTTGCCTAATAAAGTGGCATTTACGCCTGAGTTTGACCAGCTCATGCTGGCATTTATGACACATGGAGGTTGAGACCCGCGTTCGGGCGAGAGGGTTTCTTCAGCAACATGTTCCTCGTTCGCTAGAAAACCATCGAATTCAGACCAGTGATCAATCTAAGGGATTTAAACGTACACGTTATATACCGTTACTTCAAGATGGAGGGAATCCATTTACAGTTGTCCTTTCCTTTGATTCCTATGGGAAGGCATCCCTTTCAGTCTCAGCTCTGCACAGTGGTGTTTCACCAAAATGCTAAAACCAGTAGTGGCCCATATCAGAGCACAAGGGATCCAATGCATTATATACTTGGACAACAACCTCCTGTTCTGCAGGACAAACAACCTCCTATTACAACATACCGGATATACGTTACACTTGTTGGAATCTCTGGGATTCAAAGTTACTAAGGCCAAGTCTGCACTGATTCCCACTCAGACTATTCAATTCCTGGGCTTCAAAATAGACTCTTAGTCCTGCACGCTTCATCTGCTATTATCAAAAGTGTCGGCCATGCAGAAGGAGATCCACAAGGTCCTCAAGCACTACTCCATCCGCTCAGACAACTCGCCCGGATCATTGGCCTCTTATTCTCCTCAATCCAGACCATATTCTCAGGCCCGCTGCACAACAGGCCAGGCAATGGCTGAAAGCCCGTTCCCTCAGATGAGACCCCACATACAACCAACCGGTTCTCGAATGGTGGCTCAATTACATGCAAGCATGGAATGGTCGAGCCATCTTTGGCAACCAACCAGACTTCATACTGGAGTTGGACGCCAGCAGGTAAGGATGGGAAGCTACCGATGGGAGACACATGGACAGGCGCATGGACAATCCAGTAGCGATCATGAACTTTCTGGAGGGCAGTTGGTCAAGACCCTCTGTTCTGTCGACTGCTACGAGGCATCAAACTTAGGCGGCCTCCAGCCCCCAAATATCAACATCTGTGGGATGTCGGTTCTAGAGAGGATGGCCATCCAAAGAAACTCCTATCCCTATGACAATTGACGCCAAATTTACATTTCTGCAGTAGAAAGCAAAAAGAAAACAATCAATTGCTTCAACCAGGAGTAGATACCAAGACCTAGAATATTTGTGATATACATGTATAGATACAGATATACTGTGTTAGATGAATATATATATTAAATATCTGTATTTAAAAGTGTATATCATGAATATTCTAGGTCTTGGTATCTACTCCTGGTTGAAGCAATTGATTGTTTTCTTTTTGCTTTCTTCATTATACTTTTGTTTTATGAATTCAGCCTAGGGTGTTGGTTGTTTTACCAGTTGTTTAGTAGATACACACCTTTTTTAGACCATAACCTCTACCATCCTATCTATCTAAGAGGGATTATTCCCTCCTAGTCAACTCTTTACATTTCTACTGTGCCTCTTCTCGTTCCGTCGAGTCTTGGATGTGCACGCTTTCGATGTGAAGGCCTTTTCGGTCGCTCCGGAGGGAGTCACATTCCGTATTTCCCGACTGACTAAATCGGACTCATTGTTGGTCTTCTACACATTTTTTGCCTTGGATCCCCAACTCTCCGTGGGCATATGTGAAGGCAATGGAGAAGTTGCGCACAGCACCATCCCGGCAACTGCTAATTTCATGTCAGTCCTCAAGGTCCGGTTTCAGTCACCACTCTGTCCACATGGATTAGATGGCTACTTACATTGGCCATCCTATGTAAGTATTATATATATGATCTAAGTATAAACATATTTATTTTATTTATTAAATATATTTTACCAGGATGGATACTTGAGATTTTAATCGTTTTCAAGTATGTCCTGGGTTCACAAAACATTGCATTGTTACAATATTACAAAAATACAATATACATACATACACACATATATAAATGCAATACATAACGAATAAATATATTCAACCATTACAGGTGCATTCTGAGCTGAGGTATATTGCCATAGATCTCATAAAAGATTTTAGATTGAATGAAGATTTGACTGGGTCCCTGAGGTTATTCCATAATTGCGTTGCTCTGTAGGAAAAAGAGGATTGAGACACATTATTTTTGTATTGAGGTATACTAAATATCGTGCTAGTACTGGATTGGAGGTTATAGGAGGTGGGAACAGTCGGGGAGAGCATTTTACTCAGGTAGGGTGGGCGCTTCCCAGAAATGCTCTTATGCACATATACAACCATGCATACACATACACTATGTCTATTATATATTTTTAGTATCCTGTACTAGGTGGGGATCCTACCACCAACGATGTCACCAAAGAGGTGAAACGCATTGTAAATTGTGTATTGTAATAAAGATTCTTTGGTCACTCCCCTTGTGCCAACTATCTTTTTTATACACTTGATTTTTTACCTAGCATTTTTAGTATCCTGTACTCCAAGAAATCCTGTGTGGGGATCATACTACCAACGCTGTCACCAAAGAGCAGTTAGTATGCGCTTCGCTTGTGAGTACTATTTTAGTTATTTTATATTGTTGCTTTTTTTCTGTGAGCACTATTAGTTTTCTCTTTTTAGCCTTCTCCTGAGTGTGGACCATACCCCAGACGGAAGACACTTACTGCATATCCCATAAGCGGGGATTATACTGCTGTACGCCCTCTACACTAGAGCTAGCTATAGCTCTATCAAATGTGAGTTTATTTCCATCTATTCCACTAACAAATATATTGGACTGTTCATATTGCACTATTGGTTCCTTGTATCTTGTTTTTGTCTTTTATATGAGTGGATTCATCCGGATAAAGACAGTGAGTATATTATTCCCGATCAAGCACTTTATTCCATATTTAATCTGAGTAAGATCCTTCCAATTGGACTCTTTTTACTGATATTTGAATATTTTATTCCCTTTTTTGTGCTATAGTATTCTCTTGTATTTGCAATTTTTGCAGCTCATTGTATTATATCTTATTGTAGGATTTGGCGCAACCCTTACTTTTTTCACTATATATGCATATATATATATATATTTAAATTCTACATATATATTTATGTAATATTTGTGCATAATTAAGTAATTTTATTAATTACGGTGTGAGGGACCTCCCTGACAAACCAGGCAAAAAGTCCACAGAATTTGGTTTGCAGGCCCTATATTTAACCCTATAACTTTCCAAGACACAATAAAACCTGTACATGGGGGTACTGTTTTACTCGGGAGACTTTGCTGAACACAAATATTAGTATTTTAAAACAGTACAATGTATCACAACGATGATATCCTCAGTAAAAGTGCAATTTTTTGCATTTTTCACACACAAACTGCACTTTTACTGACAGTATCATTGTTGTGATACATTTTACGGTTTTGAAACACTAACATTTCTGTTCAGCGAAGTCTCCCGAGTATAACAGTACCCCTATGTACAGGTTTTATGGTGTTTTCAAAAGTTACAGAGTCAAATATAAGGCTTGCATTTCAGTTTTTTCACATTAAAATTTGCCAGATTGGTTGTGTTGCCTTTGAGACCGTATGGTAGCCCAGGAATAAGAATTACGCCTGGGCAATGTTTGTGACTAAGTGGCTACTAAAAAAGACTGGCCATACCCCATTTGCAATACCTTGGGTTGTCTACTTTTTCAAATGGTATGCCATCATGTGGGTAATTCTCATATCCATTTGGTCTGAAAGGCAACATACCCAGTCTGGCAAATTTCATTGTGTATAAACTGAAAAGGGTAAAGTGCTATATTTGACCCTATATCTTTCCAAAACACCATAATACCTGTACATTTGGGGTACTGTTTTACTTGTGAGACATGTCTCAATACAAATATGTGTATTTTATTGCAGTAACAGCTAAAGGTATTATGCTATTCACAGTTAAAATGCCATGCAGAACTAAAAAAATAACACAATTTCTTAATTTCTCAATTTTTGTTTTAATTTCTCAATTTTTTTAATATTTTATTCATATCAAATTATGTTTCATATATAAATATTTACTATTACATAAAAGCCCTGTTTCTCCTGAACAAAATAATATATAATAAGTGTGGGTTAATTTAATATGAAAGGGGGGGCGTGGCTGACGGCCGTGGAGAGCGGTCGCATGGTGTGACTGCTCCCGGTCGCACAGGACCTCTAAACCTGAAAACAAAGCAATCTGCTCTAAAAACATACCTACAGACGGCACCTGGCCCGTAGACCTTGCTGCAATGGCCCCTGCAAAGCAAATGAAAATAACGGACCCGATTCGCCACGCAAAAAAAGATAGAGCGCGGACCACTCAAGATGACGGCGGAGAGCCCGCGCTATCACAACCATCAGACTCACCACATGAGACTGAAAATGAGGCAAGTCACTATACTGATGCCCCGGTTACAGAAAAAAAAATATTTACCATGCAGCAGGACTTCAGGGTCACTCTGCAAATGGATCTAAGACAGGCAACAAATGATATTAAAAAAGAAATATCAGAGCTGGGTGAGAGGGCAAATAGCTTGGAGGCCAGACAGGATGAACTGTGCTCAGCGGATTATCTGTTGGCAGCAACCGTACAAAGCCTGAGTGAAGAGCACATGTACCTGAAGAAAAAAATGGCAGACACGAAGGACCTCTCGAGGCGCAACAATGTCAGGTTCCGAGGGATCCTGGAGACCGTGACGAATGACCGCCTCATGGAATATATAATGTCACTATGCAAGACCCTGGCTCCGACAATACAGGAACAAGAGTGGCTTATGGACCGGGCGCATCGCCTGCCCCAGAGACTTGCTCAAGATACGCCACAAGATACAGTAGTGTGTTTTCACTATTTTAAGACCAAAGATGCATTACTTATGGTGGCTAGAAAAACATCAGCATTGCCTGCACCCTACGAAACTGTTCAACTATATGCAGACCTTTCGGCTATGACCATGAGCAGGAGGCGAGCATTTGTAACGATCACGAAGATGCTGCGGAATAACAATATACAATATCGCTGGGGATACCCGACCAAGCTCACCATCTGGAGAAACGGGAGAACACACACCGCAAGTGAACCGGAGGTGGGCATGCGGCTACTTAAGGAATGGGACCTATTTCCAGTGAGATCGGACAGAGCACCGGCAGAATCGACGAAACACCCGCAGAGAGAATGGCAGATGGCGGGATCACCTACCCAGAACTAACACAACATAAAGGACCCTCTGAACAAAGGCATAGCCACATACCATAAAGGGACTGTTTTGCACAACCACTCGCACAACTGAACTGATAAGGCGTTGTGAGTATATATGTTTATGCACACATGTATAGCGATGTAGCATTACAACTGCAGTATCACACGCCCAGTTAACTCCTAAGTCCCAAGGCAAGGGCCAGCTGAGAGGGTTAAGACTGAGTACATAAGGGATGGGCAAACACAGGAGCCAAGGGGCACAAGGATAAAGCTGAGGCTCCGGCCACAAGGTCGTAGGGCCACGCAGGTTAAAAAGTAGAACCAACTAGAGGACGAGATGTTTAACTCAATGTATGGCTGCCCATCTAAATACAGGGTCTTTAGTGAGAGAACAGTCGCTCTCACCAGGGCAGGGTATGGGGCAAAAAAATAAAGTCATGATTGAGGTCGTGCGCACCTTGCTTTCACCGTTAGACGGACCCCCAGGCTGAGTGTTGGGACGGGACAGTTTACCCGAATCACGTCTCACCCAGGAAGAGCGCTGAGGACGCAAATGGCGCTTTGTATATTCTTACCCTTTTTTTCTTATATATATCTCAAGTTTTCCCCGTTGTTTTCTCCCCTTTGGGCAACACCAACATTCCATGTACCACGAATGCACCCAAAACTGCGCGCCACACATAAGCAGGTTCACCAGGAAACTACAGGGCTGATGAATTAAAAATACTAACCCTAAATGTAAGAGGCCTCAATAGCCCCCACAAGCATAGGCTGGCAGCGAAGGAAATGGTCAGATCTAAAGCAGCAATAGTGTGTCTGCAGGAGACACACTTCTGTAACTGAAACCCACCTAGATTTAACGTTAAACAGTATGCCCAGAGTTACCATGCTTTATCCCTGACTAAATCTAGGGGAATAGCCATATACTTCCACAGGGACTGGGCGTTCTCCCGCTCCAAGCAATACGCCAGGCGGGATGGGAGGCTACTGATCTTGGTGGGATCATTGAATGGGTTACAATTGATGGTGGTCTCACTATATGCCCCAAACGACTAGCAAAAATCCTTCTTGAGTATGGCCTTCCGAACAATTGCACAA